CAGGCCGGTTCTCCCTGCCCGGGCTGCCCCGCCACCCCGACCGGCTCGCGCCCCCGAGCGCCCCATTGGCCTCCTTTCGGCCTCAGTTCAGCCCAGCCCAGACTTCGGAGCTGCTGCTGGTCGGGACATGGTCCTTTGCGTCCAGGGGTAAGTGCCCCCCCTTATCCCGACTTTCGATCTGGGGAGTAAAATCTCCCCCTTCCCCTCCCCCTCCCCAGACAAAACCCAAAACAACACAGGCCTCGTGCGAAGTTGCCAGGTTTGGGAGATCGGCTGCAGTTCACCGAGTGCTGAAGATCCTAGGGCTCGGGGGCGGGGGGGCTGTGATCACACACACACACAGAGCCTCCACCCCTCTCTCCTCTAACATACTATGGCTAGGGAAACTGAGGGCTGGCAGGTAACAGGAACACAAGGTGGGCTCCCTCTCCACCCGGCCTCCCACTCCTAGAGCAGATCAGAGCTGGGGTTCACCAGCAAGAGTTCGGGGGGAGGGCACTCTAGCCCACTGACTGACTGCCTAAGTAACCTTGGGACAGCCCCTTGTCCCCTCCCCTCCCCCCCATCCCTCCACGAGTCCAGTCCTCTGTTCCAGACTCTCCTTCAGAAAGCCGGCTCGAAATCATTGACTCTTTCCCCAAGGCTGGCTGGCACCCAATAGTGAACAGTTCTTGGAGCAGCACCCCCTAAGCATTGCCCTCACTTCAACCCAGTGAGATTCTCTCAGATGTTGAGGTCCCCAGTGTGATTCACGACCTTGACTCCGGCCTCCTTTCTCCAAGTTTCCCAAAAGCATGGAATGGGGGTGGCGGGGGAGACCATGGTAGGAGTGGGGTGGTGTTCAGACAAAGTCTTGGTCCCAGCTGAGGTTCTAGCTCACTTTCTTATCCCACACTTTAGTTTTCCCTTCATTCAAACACCAAGGCTTTCCACCCATGGGCTAGGAGCTCGGAAAAGTCTATAAAAAGAGGGGTGTAGATGGGTATTCTAAGCCCAAGGAGAGCCAGGTGGCCCCATGGCAGCTGTTATCAGAACTGGCCGGGGCATGGGGCCAACTGAGGGAGAGCGGAAGGTAAAGCCAGACCCAAGCGCTCCTTGTGCTGATTCCCAAACTGTCCTTACTCAGGGGAAAAGGATGTGGAGTTGCCCAGAAGACCTCTTCTCCCCGATTGTCTCTAAGATTGTGTGTATACAGTGCCAGCCCCTTAGTTTTCCCTGCTCGAGGCTGATGCTCTAAAACCTGAGATAACAAACAGTACACTTCCAGATTTTGGGGGAGTTCATTGGAGATTAGAGTCTCACAAACTGCCCTGCCCAGGCTGGCTTTGAACTGTGATCATCAGATCTCAGCCTGCCGAGTCGAGTAGCTCCGATTCAATGTATGAGCCACTGGTGCGCAGCTAAAGGTATTTTTTAAAATCAGCATACATAGTTCTACAGGAAGGGGCTTGCTATGAATCTCCACACACATATACTAGGGATGCCAGCCAATTTCACCCCTTTCTCTCACTCTTTTCTCCTTACCCCTTTCCCCTTTCCCCAAACCATCACAACAGATTTCCTAGTTGTCTTTTCAAACCTGGGATGACGGAATCTGTCCATCCTGTGACTAGCCGTACCCTCCTCCTCCCCCAGCAAGGTCTCCACATCTCCACACATAGCCACAGAATAGTTAGTGCTCTCCAAGAGTAGAGGCTGGTGATTCCTGATGATAGCTTCGTGGAGAGGTCCCACACCCTCGCTCTCAGGCTGCATGGACTCAGTGGCCGGGCACACGTGGGGACCCAGAATATGCCAGTCTCTGCCCCCACGAGATGACAAAGCCATGCTGGGATACACAGTCGCTCAGCCCGTGGAGATCAATCCAGCTAGCCCACACCCACATCGGCCCACACGTGGGAGCTGTGTAGAGAAGTCGTATGTGGTGACGGCCACCCCCAGGGTGTCTGGGGGGTGACTCCCTAAAGGTGTTTGGCATCAATCGGTGTGGCCTAGCAGAGCGATCATCTGGAGATTCTTGAGCTCCCCTGTGAGATTCCAGAGCTCCCTGGGGCAGCCAGGGTAGGTGTGGAAAAGTACTTGGCGAGCTAGGAGTCTTTTTTTGTGGCTCTTTTTTTCTCTCTCTCAGAGTAGTGATGGGTGGGGACCTGAACATAAGCCATATCTCCAATCTGGCTTCTCTGCCCGCCTTTTATCACCTCACGGTGATACCTGGCCATTGTGTTCGAGTTGTCATTGCTTCCTCTGGCCTGGCAGACTGCTCCAGAACAGACCGACCCTGAGTTATTTGACCTCATGAATGGAATGGCTCTCAAGTACTGCCTTTCCCCACCGATGTGGGCAGGGCCCGAGGTTTCAATAACTTAGCATCCTGAGGCCCCACCGGAGGACTAGACCCCCAAATCGAACCTGGAACGTATTTTGTGAACGAGAGATCAGTACCCTCTTCCTCCCAGGCAAGAAGCTTGAGGACCCACAAGCTAGTTGGGCTTCCTCTAAGAGGAAGTTGATTGCTCAGATTTTGGCCAGCTTAGTTCCCCTCATCCCAGCCAAACCCTCTGTGGGCCCCTCACTCTGTGTATGATGGTGGGGGTAGGCGATGGGGGCCCAAGAGGAGGAAGTTGTAAACAAGATCATACAGCCCGGCATGTTGGCTTGATGTGGGGTGGGAAATCTGGACTGGGTGTGGATTACCTTGCCCTTTGATAGGAGCACACACACACACACACACACACACAAAATCGTGGGGCTTGAACTCTGGGCCTGGGCAATGTCATCGTGGGGCTTGAACTCTACACACACACACACACACACTCGTGGGGCTTGAACTCTGGGCCTGGGCAATGTCCTTCAGCTCTTCAGCTCAAGGTAAGCGCCACAGTGCTATTTCTGGTCTTCTGGTGGTTCATTGGAGATGAGTCTCATGGAAGTTCCTGCCCAGGCTGGCCTTGAACCGCGATCCTCAGAGCTCAGCCTCCTGATACTAGTTAGGATGACGGGCGTGAGCATATGGTGTAGGTATGGAGCAGGATGGGCACCATTTAATCAGCCTGCCTCGGCCCAGAGGGCACAGACGTCAGACCGCTTGGCGCTGATGCCTGGGATCCTTGTAGCCGTGACGCAATTGGCCTGTGTTTAGGGGTGTCTACCAAGTAGACAAATTAGTATTTAATGAAGGCAACCGAGTGGACAAGGATCTTTAAATTTATTTTTGTGTACGTATTAGTTCGGTGATTGTGGAGTTGGACACCAGGCCTTGAGCTTGCTGGGTGACCTCTACTGTGTGAGCCACGCCTCCAGACTTTTTTTTCCTTCAGTTATTTTTCAGCTAGGGACTGAGGTTTTGCTTGGGGCTTAACCTCGGGGTCTGGGTGCTGACCCTGAGCTGCTTTTGCTTGAGGCTGGCGCTCTACCTCTGGTGCCACAGCGCCACTGCCAGCTTTTTCCGTTTATGTGGTACTGAGGGATCGAACCCAGGGCTTCGCGCATGCCAGATGAGTGCTCTAGCACTGAGCCACATTCCCCGCCCTGGCCTAAACCTGGATCTTTGATCTTCCTACCGCCATCTCCTGAACAGTGGGGAAGGCAGGCGTGACTGCTGAGCCTGGTGGGAAAATAGTCTTTCTGGAGAAGGTCTACGGGAGTAGAGTGGAGCAGGGTGTCGTAGATACCTTGGCTTCCACCTCTAATCCCAGCTCTGAGGGGGGAAAAAAGGACACCAGGAAAAGCGATCGAGGGGGTCGGCTCTGGGAATAAGGCAAGCAGGAGATGTCTGCTCACTACCCACCTTCCCTCTTCTAGATCTTGTCCTTTACTGGCTGCGGAGCGGATTGGGCGGCGGCCCCCCTGGGCCCAGTCCCTAGAACTGCCCGATCCGGCCATGCAGCCCCTGCCGGCAGGGGCCCTCCCGGAGGAGGTGGCAGAGGAGACCCCCGTACGGGCGGAGAGTGAGCCAAAGGTGCTGGATCCTGAAGAGGATCTGCTGTGCATAGCCAAAACCTTCTCTTACCTCCGGGAATCTGGTGAGTGCTCTGTCCCAGAAAGTCTGATGAGGGAAGCTTGGTGATTGTTTTTTTTGGGGGGTCGGTGGTAGGGCTTGAACTCGGGGCCCGGACACCATCCCTGAGCTCTTTCGCTCAAGGCTGGCGCTCTGCTATTCCGAAACTCAGCTCCACTTTTGGTAGTTCATTGGAGATCAGAGTCTTACACCTGTCCCGACTGACTTTGAACCAGGTTCCTCAGAGCTCAGCCTCCTGAGACAGGCGTGAGCCACCGGTGCCTGGCGGAAGCTTAATCCTTTTGTTGCTTCTTCTTTTTTTTTTTTTCTTTGTCGGTCATGGGCTTGAACTCTGGGCTTGGGTGCTGCCCCTGCGCTCTTCAGCTCAAGAAGAGTGCTCTACCGCTTGAGCCACAGCACAAATTACGGTTTATTGGCGATCAGAGTTTCACGGACTTTCTTCCCTGGGCTGGCTTTGAACTGTGATCATCAGCTCTCAGCCTCCTGAAAAGCTAGGATAATAGGCCTGAGCCATCGGCGCCTGGCTTATTGCTTGTGTGTATGTGTGTGTGTGCGCGTGCGTGTGCATGCACACATGCACGTGCGCACTGATCCTTGAACTCAGGACCTAGGCACTATCCCTGACTCCGTTGGGTTTTGTGGTGGGGGGTGTTTTATTTCTTCCTCAGGGCTACAACTTGGGACACAGGTCTGCTTTTGGCTTTTTTCTAGTTAATCTCCAGACTTCCCTGGCCAGGTTGGCTTCCAACTGCACCCCTCAGATCTCAGCCTCTTGAGGAGCTGGGACGACAGGCCTGAGCCACCCATGCCCGACCCAGGCCTCCCACCCCCAAGTCTGATGGGAGAGACGGGGTGGGGTCCTCTCCCGGGAAGTTCAGAGAGGGGGCCCCGGGCCAATGCCCTCCACCAGCATCCAGGGTGACCACTCCCCTCCCCGCCCTGCTCTTCGCTCCTCCAGGCTGGTACTGGGGTCCCATCACCGCCGGCGAGGCCCGGCAGCACCTGCAGCAGATGCCGGAAGGGACGTTCCTGGTGCGCGACAGCGCCCACCCGGGCTACCTGTTGACACTGTCCGTCCAGACCGCCCGCGGCCCCACCAACGTGCGCATCGAGTACGCCGACTCAAGCTTCCGCCTGGACTCCAGCTGTCCGTCCCGGCCCCGCCTGCTGGCCTTCCCAGACGTGGTCAGCCTGGTGCAGCACTACGTGGCCTCCTGTGCGGCTGACGCCCCGGCCCCCGCTGCACCTGCCCCGGCCTCACCAGCGCCCAAACGAGAAGCGGCGGCGGCGGCGCCCGGGGAGCCAGCCCCACCTGGTGGCGCGGTGCACCTCCGACTGGCACGGCCCTTTGTGCGCGGGGCCAGTGCCCGCAGCCTGCAGCACCTGTGCCGCCTGCTCATCCACCGCCTGGTGAGTGACGTGGACGGCCTGCCGCTGCCCCGCCGCGTGACCGAGTACCTCCGCCGCTACCCCTTCCGCCTCTGACTGCACGGGGCCTCGCAGGAGCCGCACGCCACCAGCCGGACAGACGGCCAGCCGGACAGGCACCCCGGGCCGGACTCGGGGCTCTCGTCCTCCGCACAGGTGGCCGGCCAGATCAGAGCAGGAGAACGGGGCGCCCCGGGATCCGTGGAGCTCCCTCTCAAGGGACCTCGGGTCAGCGGAGGGGGAGAGGAGGTGGGACCTGGTGTCCCCCCCCCCCCCGGCGGGCTGGGCCCTGACCCTCCCCTTCCCCCGGCCACCCTGAAACAACGGAGACTTTCCGGGTCCCGATGTCTGCACCCGCAGGCAGGGGCGGCCCCTGACCTCCCACTGGCCTCCGCTCCTAGGGGGACGTGAAATCGGGGTTCACCTTGATGGACCCCCCCATGGAGGAGAAGGGGGTAAGAGACAGGCCGGGCCAGGGGCTCTGGGAAGGCCAGCACGGCCCCTGGTATTTATTTATTTATTCTCCTTGGGGGTCGGCCTCGGATCCAGCTGCCAAACCCCCCACCCGTGGGTAGCCCCTCCAGACACTCGTGGTGGGGTCTCGGGTTGTTCCTGAGTACCCCGGCTGCCCACCAACAACAACTTGGGGAAAGGGGCCACCGGGTCCGCGTCCTCATCTGGCACCGGGCCAGCCGGAGAGGCGCAGATCTGAGGAGACTTGATAAAACCACGGTGACCCCCCCAAACCAGCTGGCCAGTCTGTCCTTGCACCCTGCGCCAGTGTCTTTGCTGTCGCCACAGTAAGACAGAGCCTCCGGCGGGGCCTCATTAGGATGCCGGGCCCGCTCCGCTCTTCTGGTCTCCCCAGCTGGGCGACCCCTGAAAGAGGGAGGCGCGATCCCCAGTTGTGTGTGGGAAATGGGAGTCCCAGGCACGGGACTGGGACACAGACATGTGCACACGGGAAAGGCCTTGTGTTGGTGTGCGGGTCCTGGGGCTGGAGCCCCGGCCTGGACTCTGTCCTTGAGCTTTTTCCCTCGAGGCTGGCGCTCCGCTGCTTGGGCCACGGCTGCACTTCTGCCTTCTTGTCTCCTTTCAGTCTTGAATTGGAACCAAGAGTCTCATGGACTCTCATGCCCTGGCTGGCTTCAAACGGCCATCCTCAGATCACGGCCTCCTGAGTAGCTGGGTGAGCCGCAGGGGCCTGGTTTTGCGGCTCGGATCTCTGACAGGGAGACTGGGAAGGGTGTGAGTTCGAGTCCTGGTACCAGCAGAGAAGGGAGGGAGGGAAAGGAGGAAAAGCAAAGTTGTACGGCAGAGAAGACACTCCCACAGTTGAGAGGGTCGGTGGGGGGGGAGCCCCGATGGCGTGGCAGGGAACCCAAAGACTGGAGCGAAGAATGGGAGCCGGAGGGAACTATCCGTCCCATGGCTGAGAGGGGCAGAGACAGCTCTGGAGTCCAGAACCACGAAGAGGGCAGAGGGTACGGGCATTGACTGCTCAGGTCGGGTTTTCTGGTTTGCCTTGGACCAACCCCAGGCCCCGATCCTCCTTCCCTGTGCCTCCCACGAAGCCATTCACCCACTGAGATAGGGTGGGGATGGGAGTGTTCTCCCTGAAGTCCCTCACGCCTGCAGAGCACCAAGTGGGGGGGGGGGCTACACAGGCAGAGCTAAGGAAGCCAAAGATGTTGGGGTTGGAGTACAGGGCAGTTGCCCACAGGAGGTGCCAAGGCCTTCCATGTGGCCCTCTCACCCCAACTGTTAGACCAGTTTTCATCTAGAGCGAGCCTCCTGCCCCACCTCCCATGGGGGGTGATGGGGATGTTGCCCTGGGCATTGTCAGGCGGGGGGGGGAGGGGGAGGGGGATCCCCCATGTCTGAGTTGTGACTTGGTTCTGGCCAGATGGGTGGAAAATGTCGGAGCAGCTGAGAATGTCCTTGTGAGGTAGAGCGCTCGCCTGGCACGCACCAAGCCCTGGGTTCGACTCCTGAGTACCACGGAAGCCAGCTGAGCGCCCACCTTGAGCTCGGGGATGATACCCCGGCCCCTGAGTTCAAGGCCCAGGACTGCCATAAGAAGAAGAGAGGAAAGGCTGGAGGGATCCTCTGGAGAACGGGAGCTAAGACTGTCCAGGACGGAGGCTGGGTTGGAGGCGATGGTGACTCCACCCACCCAGCAGGGGTCGCCTGCTGAGTCACTGGTCCCAGAGATGCCGGACCACGTGGTTGGAAAGGGCTGGCTCCCGCAGACCAGACCGGGCCAGCCGGTCTGCGCAGCGCCGGGCTCCCTCTGCGTACAGGTGTGGGTTTCACTCTAGCGTCTGGGTTGGGCCCAGGCTGTGTTTTCAAAAATGCCCCTGGACCCCCCCCTCCCAGGAAGTATCTTCACCCCCAGCCCGGGTCCTCTCCCCCCCCCCAGCCTCTGTGTGTGTGTGTGTGTGCACACGCGCGTGCATGCGCTCGATGACCTTTCCACTTGGCTGGCGAGCCTTTGTTTTTCTCCATTCTTTCCAGTGGGCGATCATGAAAGGAGGAGTTATAGACAGAAAAATCCTGGAGACAAATGTTCCCAAACTGGGCGCCAGTGGCTCACACCTGTCATCCTAGCTGCCCGCGAGGCCGAGATCCAAGGATGGCATTGGAAGCCAGCCCGGGCAAGAAAAGCACCCCCCTGAGACCCTCGTTTCCAATAGATGACCGGAAAGAGCCGGAAGCACTGTGGCCCAAGCCTTGGGCACAAAGAGGGCCCTGAGTTCAAGCCCTGGGACTGACCAAAAATAACCTGAAAGCGAGAGAGTTCAGGGAGATACAGGAGATCTCAGCCTCTCGAGTAGCTAGGGGGACCCACCACCCTGTCCCTTTTTACTCAGATCCCCAGTGTCTGGCTGGGAATTGTGGACTTGGGGAGGGAGAGCAGGGTGGGGTGGGGGGGGGTCCACAACAGCACCCCTCATCGGCAACCTAATGATCGCCATCCGCGGTCGATCTCGGCTAGTAGACCTGGGGTGCCCTGCAAGGGCAAGAACGCTTGACAGAGCCATCCCCGCCCCCACCCTGGGTGAGGTGTGTTTGTCAGAATTACAGCAGCTGCCGCCACCGCCAAAAAGCCTCTTCCCAGGAAGAGCTGAGCTTCTCTTCCAAGAAATCAGAGGAGGGCGGCGGGAGGGGGGAGTTAATTTTAAACCCAACAGCTTTCCACGCTTCTGGGGGAACCGGTTGCTCAACCGGTGCCCTGGCAGGTCCAGGGCGAGCAGGCGGGGCCAGCTCGGTGGGGGTGGGAGACACACCCGGGGGAGAAGCCCAATGACCTTGAGAGGACTGTGGGGGGAGGGAAGGGGAGTCCTCTCTCCCCCCCCCCACCCCACTAAGCCCAGTTCCAAAGGCTGGGAGGTGAGGGCGGATGTGTGTGTATGAGAGAGAAAGGGATTTATTCAGTTCTAAACAGGCCAGTGACATTTAAAAAACTTTGATGTTGGTCATGGGGCTTGAACTCTGGGCCTGGGCGCTGTCACTGAGCTATTCAGTTTAAGGCGAGCACTCTACCGCTTGAGCCACAGCACCACTTCCAGTCTTGTGGTGGTTTTCTGGAGATGAGTCTCACAGACATTCCTGCCCCCCCTGGGTCTGGGGACACCAGGCTGATGGGGTGAGGAGGTGCAGTGTGGAGTGTCAGCCGGTAGAAATGTGGGGCTGCAAACTTCTTTTCTGTCCACATGTGGCCATCCCCTGTGGCCGATCGGGACTCTGCCACCCTTGCCTTCCCTGTCTCTTGTCCCTTAGCTTTGTGTGTCACCTGGCAGCCTGAGCCCGTGTGAGCGGGCGCTTCCTGGAATCCGTGCGTCCGTTCTGCGAGAGAGGCTCAGGGGACAGTCCGTGACCCACAGGGGGTCGGGGACAGAGTGCGGAGGCCTCTGATCGGGTTCCCCCTCTGGGAAGCCCTCCCCGATTGCAGGTGTCTCCCCTCCTTAGTCTCCTCAGTCCCCCTGTCGGGGTTTTTGGTGCTCAAATCACCACTTTCTGCTTCTGGCTGTTTGGAAGCTGGGCAGAGGGGAGAGACTCGTGGCCTTTCCCACCCGGCTGCCAGGTGGCTCTGAGAGCTCTTCTGGGAAAGGCTTGGGTGTGGCATGGCACAGCCAATGTCAGCTGTGAAGGAAGCTGAGGGAGGGGAGGACAGCCCCTCCCCCATGACAGAAGCCCAGCCCCTGCCTCAGGTCACCCAGATTCCCCCCACCCTCATCGAAGCCCAGGGGAGGCTGCAGGTGGGCCGTGGGCACGGGAGCGACCGGGGGCCTGGACCGGACTGAGTGGCTGGGAGCATCTGTCCTGGGATCTCAGGGTCAGCGCTATCACAACTGGTCCTTCCGGGCTCCCGCCTGTCATCCTGGCTACTGGGGAGGCTGAGATCTGAGGATCATGGTTTGAAGCCAACCTTGGCGGGAAAACCCATGACGTGTCATAGATGCTGTGTCCTCACCCGACCTGGAATTCTGCTCCACACAGGTGGCCCCAAGGGAGGCCGAGGTGCCAGGCACTTAGCTGTGACTCAGCGCAAGACAGAAAGTGTGTGTGTGTGTGTGTGTGTGTGACGCCTTAAAGGGTTTTGCTTCTCATTTTTCTCTTTCCAAGGCATAGCTGAACTTCCCAGAAACGAAGGTACCCAGAACCAGAGAAACTCTGGGTTCTCACAGCGGCCCAGATTCCCCCCCCAGTCAGCCCACCTTGGGGTGTCACCATCGAGGGGGATGGGGTAGCCCCTGAGCCCTTGTCTTCAGTCTGAGGAGGAGCTGCTGGCCATGGGGCCGCAGGCTTCAGTGTTCTCCTCTCTGTCGTTCATGGGGCTTGAACTCGGGACCAGGACGCTGTCCCCAAGCTCTTTTGCTAGAGGCTGGCACTCTACTGCTTTTGGCCACAACTCAGCTTCAGTTTTTCTTTTTGTCGGTCGTGGGGCTTGAACTCTGGGCCTGGGCGCTGTCCCTCAGCTCTTCAGCTCAAGGCTATGGCTCAACCACTTGAGCCACAGCGCCACTTCCGGTTTTCTGGTGGTTTATTGGAGATAGGAGTCTCACGGTCTCGCCTGCCTGGACTGGCTTTGAACCGCGATCCTCAGATCTCAGCCTCCTGAGTAGCTAGGATTACAGGCGTGAGCCACCAGCACCCAACTCTTTCCCTCTTTTCTTATGAGTTCATACTTGTAAGTAAAAATGAAGGAGAGGCCGTGTTTCCCTACATCCGCACTCAAACCGATGTTTCGCCAGGCATGGCAGCAGGGCGGGAGTAGGCTCTGGCCTGTGATCTCAATCTGAGGATTTCAGTTCAAAGCCAACCTGGGCTTATCTCCAAGGCACCACCCAAAAGCCCAACCCAGAAGCTTTGGCTCAAGCGGTAGAGAGGTGGAGCTGTGGCTCAAACAAGGAGAATGCTATGTGACCTAGTGGTAGAGTGCTCGCCTGGCACGCATGAAGCCCTGGGTTTGACTCCCCGGTACCACACAAACAGAAAAAGCGGGAAGTGGCGCTGTGGCTCAAGAGGTAGAGCACCGGCCTTGAGTCAAAGAGCTGCGGGATAGTGGCCCGGCCCAGAGTGCAAGCAAGCCCCGCGACCTACATAAATAAAATAATAACAACTAAAAGGAAATCACACGAGGTCTTAAGCACAACCCAAACTTAAAACACATTTCGCAGCTGGGCGCCAGTGGCTCACGCCTGTCATCCTAGCTACTCAGGAGGCTGAGAACTGAGGATCATGGTTCAAAGCCAGCCTGGGCAGGAAAGTCCGTGAAACTCTTTATCTCCAAGAAACTACCAGAAAACCGGAAGTGGCACCGTGGCTCAAGTGGTAGAGCGCTCGCCTTGAGCTGAAGAGCTGAGGGACAGCACCCAGGCCCAGAGTTCAAGCCCCACGATTGACAAAAAACAAACAAAAAACCCCATTTCACCACAATGTGTTTTGGACTGAGCCAGATCAAAACCACGTCACAGATCCAAGGGTAGACTCGCCGGCTCAAGCCTGCATTTGAGTGAGTGTCAGGCGCAACCCCAGGATTGTGGGTGAATGACCCTTGACCCCGTCCTTTCCAGGGAATGAGGAACCGAACGTATCCCAGAACCAAAGTTCAGGGTCTAGGCCCAGTCAGCAAGTGAGTTGTAAACACACACGGAGGCGTCTCCTAGAAACGGGGAGTCTACGTGGGGGAGTGACGGGAGGGGACATCTCCACAGGCACCCGGAGTCATGGAGAGCCCCGTCGGGCACTGCGTGTGGAATTCCTAGAAGGCTCCGTGGGACTGGATGTCCCTGAATGTCCGTGGGGCGATCGATCACACATACGGCCTGGACTTCTGCACGTGCAGGAACCGGGGCCTGAAGAAATGGGAGTATGAGTGTGTGTGTGTGTGAGTTGGGGGGGGGGGGGGGGTCGTGGGGGGTGGTAGCATCCGGGCTCCGGGGGAAGGCGCAGGGGGGTGGAACGGCTGGAGAGTGGAGAGCGTAAGGCCGTGGGCAGCCGTGGGAACCAAGGGCCGGGCAGACTTTACCTCCCACACAAGTCCTGGCGCAAGGCGACGAGACGGAGGGACGGGTTGGGCCAGCTCTGGAGCCAGCTGCCAACCAGCTCGGGATGTCTCGGGTCTACTTCCAAGAAGATGCTTCTACGTGGAGGAGACGTGGGTCAGCTCAAGCGGGCAAGGGCGGGCTTTGAACTCCTGGCTTGCCTGGGTCGGGTGCAGAGAGATGGCCAGGACGCGCCCCGGACGCTCTGGGAGGGGAGGAGGCTGCCAGGCACAGATCTAAACAACCCGTCCCATCCGTACCCACAATCCTTCAGGATCCGGGGGGCCAGGGTCAGGATGCTGCAGATGACGTCCATGCCTTCCTCCCCGCCGTCCAGGGCCACGGGGTCTTCGTACCTGAATGCGATGATGGCGGGCAGTCAGAGTCCCTAGGAGGAACGGGGCCAGAAAGGCTCCTCCTGGAGCTTAAGATTCTGGGCCGAGAGGCAAGAATGGGGACCCAGGGGAGTGATCCCCTAAATGGTGACATCTCCTATTGAGCCATCCGCCATGGGCAGGGCCAGGTCCCCTGGGTGTGGGTTGGGGTCTCCAGTCCCAGGCTATTTCCTGTGCGTGAGCCCCAGGTGGTCTGGAGCTGGTCCTGCCTGCTCCTGAGAGGCTAGAAAGGAGGATGCGAACACCCTGAAACACACGAGCACTCCTTACCCATCGGGGAGCTGCCTGCCTACCTCTGTTTCTCCCTGGTGGAAAAGAAGGATGGGAAAGCTAGGAGGAGGAGGGTTTTAGTCCCGGCTTTCCAGCGAAGCGCTTCTGGAACTTTAGACGAAGCGCTTTCCCTCTCCTGACCTCGGTCTTCTGTCATATGACTACTGAGCACTTTTTATGAGGGCTTCACTGCATCCACTTTTTCTTTTTGATCGGTTATGGGGCTTGAACTCGGGGCCTGGGTACTGATCGTGATGTCTGTCTGCTCTCAAGGCTAGCGCCACCTCCAGTTGGAGATTGGAGATGAGAGTCTCACGGACTTTCCTGCCGGGGCTGGGAACTATGACCTTCCAGATCTCAGCCTCCCGAGTAGCCGGGATGACGGGCGTGAGCCTCTGGTGCCCGGCTTCCAGTGCCTAATTCTTTAGAATTTCCACCTAGTCCTCCTTAGGGCCCAGGAGACAGACACTCCTTTACCTCCTCGGGGAAAGAAAAGGGAGGCTGGGAATGTGGGTAGGACCACATCTATTCCTAAGCTCCCACCCGCCTCTTCTAGATGGCGTGGTCCTCTGGGGCGGATCAGACCCGCTAGGTCTCCCCGGCCCTGCCCCGTATCCACCCCTACCAGGTACCTGAGGATTTCTGGGGCCAGTTGCTCCATGTCCTGGTAGAAGACGTAGGGAGGGTTGCTGACGACCAGATCCAGGGGTGCCCAGGGCAGAAGGGGTGTCCAGCTCCCCTCTGTCAAAGGAGACACAAAGCATGGATGGATCTACTAAGAGCTACAGGGCATAGCCCGCCACCTGTCACCAAGGTCCCTTGGGTAGCTGGGTTTTTTGACGGTTGTAGGGCTCGAGCTTGGGGCCTGGGTGCCGTCTTTGAGCTTCTTTCACTCCAGGCGAGCGCTCTTCCACCCGAGCCACAGTGCCACTTCCGGCTTTTTCTGTGTCTGCGGAATGAGGACTCGAACCCGGGACTTCGGGCATGGTAGGCAAGCACTCTACCGCTAAGCCAGGTTTCCAGCCCTGGATAAGCCCTGTTCTGATGTGACACCTCAGGCCTGTCTCTGGACGGTCTTGCAGATCTGTACCCAGAGTTTTACTGGCAGCCCTGGCTGGAAACACACGCTCTGGTATGGTGTGTTTTATCTAAGACGTTCCTGCTCTGCTTCCTGTCAGATCCTCTCTGAAGCGAGACCCCTTTTCCAGTGCTGCCTCTAAGAAGCCTGCTCCGATCGCCCAGGCAAGGCGGGAGCCCCTCTCCTCTGTGGGCCGCCAGCCTTGTAGTGCTCGCCTTCTGGCCAGTGAGCACTGAAAGCGCACAGAGGGGAAGGCCCGGCTCCCGCCACCCGACTCCTGCAGGCTCTGATTTCTGGCTCCGTAAGAGACGCGCACAAGGCCTGGGCGGTCTGTGGGCGACAAGACAGGGGCCGTTGCTTTGTGTGGGCTTGAACTCAGGATCTGAGAGCTGTCTCTCTGAGCTTTCCTGTTCCAGGCAGGTACTCTACCACTTGAGCCACAGCTCTACTTCTGGCTTTTTGGTGGTTCCTTAGAAGAGTCTCATGGGCTTTCCAGCTTACGGCTGGCTTCGCACCGTGATCCTCGGATCTCAGCCTCCAGAGTAGTTGGGATGACAGGCGTCCCTGAGCCGTGGGTGTCGGGCACCCAAGCCTTTCCTCTGAGGAGCTGTATATCTCGTGTCAACAAGCAAGCCCAAGTGAAAATAATCAATTAAAGGTGATCAAGATCCCCTCTTAGGTTAGGTAAGCCAAGGAGACCTTGGGAAAGGCTAGTCTGAGATGGCCTAGGGGTGTGTGTGTGTGTGTGTGTGTGTGTATGCGTGGTTGTTGGGGATCCCTGCCCCCATCTCTGGGGCACCTCATCATCCCGGTGGCGAGCGCATCCAGGCCCCCCCCCCACCCCAAGGAAGGTGGGTGGGGGAGGTTACCTGACGTCACATCAAGGGGGATGACCCGAATTCTATCCTGCAACCGAAGCCTGGAGAGAGAAAGGAGGGAGGGAAAGGGTTAGGGGAACAGCAAGGGAAGCCCCTTACCTTTTGCTACAAGCACCAGAGAGGAGAGTGAATCCATCCTTTCTGGCAGTAAGATATCTAGTGCCCATTATTCATTGATTGACTTGGGGCCAGGATGATGGGTGGGAGCTGCCAGCACTGGACCCCACCATCCAAAGCCAGTAGGGCCAGTGCCGCACTACATCCCCCCTTCTTTGGAGTGGGAAGCAGACATGGGTGGGTCTGATACAGCCTAGCTACCTTCGAGCATTGTCCCGGGTCAGTCTGATGGCGGCTTCCTCCTTATCCACGGCGATGACTTGGCTCTGTCACAAGAACAAATGTCCCCCGGGGAGGTGTCAGGCCTGGGGACATTCCTCTGTGCACCCCTCACACACCCCAAAACGACACACTCCAGGGAAGAAGACACGGAGTATCTTTTTTCCCCTCATAGCCAGGGTCTGGCCAGATGGGGGAAGGTGAGGATTGGAGGCTCGGGATCACTCCAGGCGGGGGGGCGGGGGCAGCGTGATGCCTCATCCGCTTTCCTTGCGTGGCTAGCGGAGGGCCGTGGGGAGGGACTCACGGGAGGGACGATGGATAACTGTCTGGGCCTTGGCGGGGCACAGAGGGGCTTACCTCGGGGAGCTCGTTCAACAGGCTGAGCGAGACGGCTCCTGACCCACAGCCCACCTCCAGAATGAGGGGGCCGCCTTGGGTTCCAGCCACATGGGGACGCTGGGCCACCTCCTCCAGCACCCATTCAACCAGTTCCTGTAAGGGGGGAGCGGGGTGGAAGAGACTCAGAACTGGACTTAACTGGGCACCACCGGTGGCCCCCATCTGTCAACCTAGTTATTCAGGAGGCTGAGATCTGAGGATCGTGGTTCAAAGCCAGTCTGGGCAGGAAAGTCTGTGAGACTCTTTTCTCTAATAAACCACCAGAAAACTGGAAGTGGCGCTGTGGCTCGAGTGGTAGAACGCTACACTTGAGCTGAAGAGCACAGGGACAGTATCCAGGCCCAGAGTTCAAGCCCCACGACTCCCAAAAAAAGAGAAGTGGACTTAATGGTACCCATTGTCCTAGGTGGTGTTAGCAAAGATGTCAGGCCGAGCTTCCTGTCAGCTGGGGCTCATGAGTAGGTCACCCAGCTTCTCTGTACCCCCATTTCCCCAGCTGCAAAACTGAACACAGTGAAGGATCCCCTTCCTCTTGGGGACAGGGTAAGGATAAAAGAGGGCCATGTTTGTTTCATAAGCCCATGCGTGTTGCATGACTAAGTAAATAATACACCCCAACTGTTATCTTCCCGTTATCTGCTCAGAGGATTGCCGAGAGAGAACCGTATGGCCGCCCCGCTCTGTGCCAGAGATCTCTATATTAATCCCTTGTTTCCGCACAACTGTCCCGAGAGGAGACTGAGGTTCAATGGTCAAGGCCCAACCCAGAGCCTCGCCTGTGGTCAAGAATCGGCTGCCGTGGACTAAGAGATCGTGAGACTCCATCTACATCAATGACCACCACATGGCTGCCATCCCAACTACAGAGGACCGGGCATGGTGGCACATACCTGTAACAAATACATAGATCGGGTTTCTATCTCAGAAATGCCCAAGACAGAAAGGATCGGCTTGAGCCGGGCCCTGGTGGCTCACACCTGTAATCCTAGCTACTCAGGAGGCTGAGATCTGAGGATTGCGGTTCAAAGCCAGCCCGGCAGGAGAGAACGTGAGACTCCTATCTCCAATAAACCACCAGAAAACCGGAAGTGGCGCTGTAGCTCAAGTGGTAGAGCACTTGCCTTGAGCTGAAGAGCTCAGGCCCAGAGTTCAAGCCCCACGACCGACCAAAAAAAAAAAAGAAAGGATTGGCTTGCATGGTAGAATACCTGACTAGCGAGCATCAGGCCTTGAGTTCAAACCCTAATGTACCTAAAAGAACGAGAGGCCCGGGTGCCAGAGGCTCATGCCTATAATCCTAGCTGCTCGGGAGGCTGAGATCTGAAGATCACAGGTCAAGACTTAAAATAGGCTTGGCCTCGCCCAGCAGACGTCATGATGAGAAGACCTGGAGTCTGACCTCCCCTGATGCACACACACACATGCACACACACACACACACACACACACACACGGCCAGCACTGTTATCCTAGCTATTAGGAGGCTGAGATCTGTGGATCACGGTTCAAAACCAGCCCCTGCAACACACTAGCATTGAGCACAGAAGCTCAGAGACAGCACCCAGGCCCTGAGTTGGAAGGCCCAGATCCTCTACCTCTAAACACACACGTACACAAACACAAGGACAGCACAAGTCCTTGAGCAGCTGTCCCTGAGCACTCTGAACACCCTCCATTTGGATCACATGCCACCCCCGAGAGGGTGGTAGTACCTACCATTCTCACACCAACTGCAGACACTACTCGGAGCCTCTCACACATCCCGAATGGCTGATGACCCAGCATGGCATTACCTACTGTACACACTGCTCTGCAGAACACTCAGCCACCTTTCCCTTTTGTTGTTGGTCTTGGGGCTTGAACTCTGGGCCTGGGCGCTGTCCCTCAGCTCTTCAGCTGAAGGTGAGCACTCTACCACTTGAGCCATGGCGCCACTTCCGGTTTCCTGGTGTGTTCACTGGAGATAAAGTCTCACAGACTTTCCTGCCCGGGCTGGCTTTGAACCGTGATCCTCAGATCTCAGCCTCCTGAGTAGCTAGGATTACAGGCGTGAGCCACCAGCGCCCGGCTCGGTGACCTTCTTAGACCCAGGGGAAACCCGACTCGTCAGGCCACAAACCACTTGCCAACACTTTACTTCAGACTCTGACACCCAGCACCCAAAAGCATCTTCAATGGATGGAGAGAATATAGACACTACGATCCCACCCCTGCACCCATTCGCCCACAGGCCACGTGGCCACAGGCCACGTCCTCTTGAGTTCTTGGTAAGGCACCGCCCACCGTGCTGTGGCTTCACACTGGGGCAAACCTGGGGAGTTCTTAGAAATGTCTGTGCACTGAGGCCAGCACCTGGTCTCCCAACCACAGCACCCCCCACCCCTTTACCATCTCTCCCAGCCAACAATGTTTTACTTTCTCTTTCTTTATGGGTCGTGGGGCTTGAACTCTGGGCCTGGGCACCATCCCTGAGCTCTTCAGTTCAAGGCGAGTGAGTGCTCTACCGCTTGAGCCCACAGCACCACTTCCGGATTTCTGGTGGTTTATTGGAGTTAAGAGTCTCATGGACTGTCCTGCCCAGGCTGGCTTTGAACAGTGAACCTCAGATCTCAGTCTCCTGAGTAACTAGTAGTAGTAGTAGCCTCCTGAGTAGTAGTAGGTTGACAGGCGTGAGCCACTGGCACCCAGCCAAAGATGTATTTGCACGCTTGCCATCCCAGCTCCTCAGGAGGCTGAGACCTGAGGACTGCAGTCAGCTGTCAGCCCTGGCAGGAAAGTCCATGCGACCCTTATCATCAATGAAACAACCAAATGGCTCAAATGGTAGAGTGCTAGCTTAGAGCATAACAGACATGGGATATGACCCAGGCCCTAGTTTCAAGCTTTTTCTAGCATAGACCCACCCAAGAAAGGGAAGCAGGTGGGCACACGGGAGCTCAAAGCTCAGGCATAATAGTGGAGACTGGCAGAATACCCCATCCTGCTCTGAGTCTCTGTACTCTATGTCCTAGATCATGGCGGTCTTAGATGGGACCCACCATGCATGGAGTCAGGACGTTCAAATTCAATCTCCTACTGAGGGTTCCTGGACCTTGATAAGTTGGGGAGGGGGGGAGAAGGGAGGTTGTAGGTCCCTCTCTTATCAGGAAGGTAAAAAGGTCTGATCCATCCCAGGAACATTCTACTCAGAGCCCAGTGCCTCTGATCTTCCCACCAGCCTCTTCCCGGCCCTGCCCCACCTTCAGTCTGTCCTCTCTCTTTTTTTTTTTTTGGGGTCCGGTCGTGGGGCCTGAACTCTGGGCCTGGGCGCTGTCCCTCAGCTCTTCAGCTCAAGGTTAGCACTCTACCACTTGAGCTACAGCACCACTTCTGGCTTTTTTTCTTATGTGGTGCTGAGGAATGGAACCCAGGGCCTCAGGCATGCAAGGCAAGCGCTCTACCACTGAGCCACCTTCCCAGCCCCAGTCTGTCCTCTCTCAATCCCAGCTCTGCCCTGTAGAGAAAAGGCTGAGCCAGCAAAGAGACCCACCTCTGCCTCTGAGAATGGCAGCCATGGGGCGCCAGCGCCCCCTAGAGGAAGTCTCCGAGCAACACGGGTCCCCTGACTCCCGCCCTCATTCCCAGGCTGTCCTGAGCCAGTGGGCATGCTTACCTCTGTCTCTGGCCGAGGAATGAACACGGGGGGTGTCATCTTCAGATTGAGCCCTCGAAAGTCCCAGTCTCCAAGGATGTACTGCACGGGCATCCTGCGGTGGACCACAGCCAGGTGGTCAATAGTGGACCCAAAGGTGCAGGACTTTTACTAGCGGTGTGGTGTGGTCGGAAGGCTCTATCACCGGTGATCTAGGCTGTCAGGTGGTGGCTCTGATGTCCTGAGACACCTGACCTGGGATCGCCCTCCCTCTTCATCTTCCCGCTTATCCCTCGCCCCCCCCCTTGACACTCCCTCACCCCATACCTCCCCTAGCCCTCAGACACGACACTTTCTTCTTCTCTGACCATATAAACTCGGTGGGGCCAGGGGAAACTGAGACCCTGTGACCCACACAGAGCTCTAGGGTGTACCCGAGGCTGCTTACCTCTGCAGTCGGAGACTACACAGCTCGTGGATGTCATGAAGTTGCTGAGGGGTCAGTGGCTTGGTCCTACATACTGGCTTTAGGCTCTGAAACTGTCCCCGCAGAGACTGTGAATGGTTGACTCCTTCCCTCCCCTCTCTCTCTCTCTTTTTGCCAGTCCTGGGCCTTGAACCCAGAGACTGGATGCTGTCCCTGCGCCTTTTTACTCAGGGCTAGCAGTCTAAGGCTTAAGCCACAGATCCACTTCTGGCTTTTTCTTTTTGGTAGCTGATTGGAGGTAAGAGTCTTACAGGCTTTCCTGTCTGGGCCTTAAGCCTCGATCCTCCGATCTCAGCCTCCTAAGTAGCTAGGATGACAGGTGTGAGGAACCATCATCCAGCTCAAACCAAGATTTCTTCATGTGCTGTGGAACTGGCCCTGGAACCTTTCATTGTCTATGACCCCCTGGAGCCTGGCACACGCCGTAACTGTTTGTTGGAGAAGTAAATGAGCATCTGTCTATGACAATACTGCAGAAAAGTCCCGTCCCATTCAGCTGAGCATCCTCAGTGAGGTGGGACAAAACCTTGTATAGCTCTTCCACAGTTCCTCCTCCCTCTACCCGCCACTGCTCTTAACTGTTTTGGCTCCAAGGACATGAGCCACGATGTACTCGCTGGATTCCTGGGCCTCTGGGATGCCTCTCTTCTCAAAGATCTCTGTCCAGCGGCGGACCAGTTCTGTGGCACTTGATTCCCCGGTCGGGTGTGAATGAGGCTGCTGTGAGCCAAAGGCCCGGCTCAAGGGGCCTCCTCTCCTCCGCCTGGGGCCAGACAGGAGGGTCCACCACATCCGGCCCCCAAGTTTCATGTTGCAGAGAGGATCCTGGGGGGCTCCCGGGTCTCTGAATCTCCCAGATTCTAGTGCAGGTGCTGGGAATCGTCTCTGGACACAGCTGGCAGGCTGGGGAGGGAGAGGTCACAATCTCTGCTCCCCACGATGTCCTCGACCGTGGTGGTCACCCTAGAGAGAGTCGGAGGAGAATCAGCAGCTGCCAGAGAAAGGCCGTCAAGGCACCATGTTCAGAGCAGGAGACGATCTGGCTTGGGAGCTCTGCCTGGGCCACTCTGAACATCATCGTTTGGCGGCTGAAATCGTCCCTCTCATTGGACCCCTAATCCCAGGCATTAGCATAAAATGCCAGCTTAAAAACACAAAGCAGCCGGGCGCTGGTGGCTCACGCCTGGCATCCCAGCCCCTCAAGTGGCTGAGATCTGAGGATCACATTCAAAGCCAGCCCGGGCAGGAAAGACTGTGACACTCAGATCTCCAATGAACCACCAGAAAACCGGAAGTGCCGCTGTGGCTCAAGGGGTCGCCCACCACGGCCCACCTGGGAGACACAGGTGGGAGTCGGCCGCCCTTCCTCCTCCTCCTCCTCCTCCTCCTCCTCCTCCTTCCTCTTCTTCTTCTTCTTCTTCTTCTTCTTCTTCTTCTTCTCCTCCTCCTCCTCCTCCTGACTTCCGGATGTGTGCCGCCGAGGATGCGCGCCTCCTGAGCCGCACTTCCGGTCGGTGCGGTCCGGAAGAGGGCTCGGGCGGGCCCGGCGGCGCGGCACCCGCGTTCCGAGGCGCTGAGTGTCCCCTTGCTGGGCTGCGTGGCGCTCTACCCGTGGGGCCACGGCTCCACTCTCGCTCGCGCGGACTTTCCCACCCCGGCCGGCTCCGAACCGCGTGCCTCAGACGTCAGCCACCCTGAATAGTCAGGAGGAGCTCGGACGGAAGGACAGAATGCCCCCTGTGGAGGACTAAGCATATAGGGCCCACTGAAGGACTCGGCACACAGCACCCTTTGAAGGACTCAGCAGACAGCACCCTGTGTAAAAGACTCGGCACACAGCACCCTTTGAAAAACAGCCCGTCCCTCTCTTCTCAAGGACTCAGCACATAGCACCTGGTGCTCTGGTGGCTCTGGTGGCTCATGCCTGTCATCCTAGCTACTCAGGAAGCTGAGATCTGGAGGATCGTGGTTCCAAGCCAGCCCAGGCAGGGAAGCATGCGAGACTCTTATCCTCAATAAACCGCCAGACAACCAGTAGTGGCCCCGTGGCTCAGGTGGTAGAGCGCTAGCTAGCCCTGAGCAAAAGAGCTCAGGGATAGTGTTCATGGCCGACAGCAACAAGAAAAGGCATCACATGTGGGGTTTGGGGTTGGCATGGGCCAAATATAATTGGAATTTTCAAGTGCTCCAAGATAAAGCAGTACCTCCTTTAGTCCCATGCTCCTCCATCTTGAATCATCCCAGGCCAAGGCTTCGGGTCAGCATGGCCCTGGTTGGACGGGAGAGCTCCAAGGAGGAAGATCCCAGAGCAATCGCCCCACTTCCTTCCACCCTGTTTACCCTGTTGCTTCTGCTCTTTGCCTTAGACCTTCTTCCTGGAATCCATCCGTGTGGACCCCGAGGTCATCACCGCCGACGAAGTAGTGAGTGGTAGGTCTGGCTTAACTCGGGGCAGTCAGAGGTGGAAGTCAGTCTGGGACTAGAAGCTTCCACTCTGGATGTGGGCTGAGGCCAGGGCTGACTTCTATTTGACCTTGAGCCTTGCAGGGGTGAGGAGACAGTGGAGACTCCACGTTGAATCAGGTAAGATCGGAATCCGGAGGACCACTTGTGTGGGGGAGGCTGTGGGGCTCAGGGGGCCTCCATTCTTGGTCCTCCTTTCTCGGGACTCCTCTCTCCCTTTCTCATCCCGGAATGCTAGAAGAGAAACTTCAACTAGGGGTGTGGGAAGAGTATTTCTGTGTGAACCAGACTTGTTCTTCATTTTCATCACAGCCCCTACTTCCTATTTATCTGAGGAAGGGCCATGTGAGTTTAGGGGGGAAATCATCGTAGCTGAGAATGTGGCTCCGTGGTAGAGCGCTCACCTAGCATGCAGGAAGCCCTGAGTTCCATTCCTCAGTACGCCACACACACAGAAAAAGCCAGAAGTGGCGCTGGGGCTCAAGTGGCCGAGCGCTAGCCTTGAGCAAAAACAGCTCAGGGACAATGGCCAGGCCCTGAGTTCAAGCCCCAGGACTGGAAGAACAAATCTTTGTTGGAGGCTTTTATTGTTTCCTTTGAAAACAATTTATTCTTTGTGATACGCATAACATGGGCTTCCTGCCTGGCCACCAATGGGCCATTAGTGACCCCTTGAATTGGGGCCACCTCCCAGCAGCCCACAGTGTCCTGTCAATATGTCACATAGAGAGTCATCCGTTCTTTACATGACTGGAGGGACTCCTTGACGGGGGGGGGGGGGGGGGGGGGGGGGGGGCCTGGGCTCTGTGTCCCTCTGGGTCTGGGGGACGTCTCCCCAAGGAGAGCCAGGAAGCTCAGCTGGGCTTGCAGTCACTGCTTCTGTACTTCCAGGCATTTGAGAGTTTCCTGCCACTTTGGGGGTACCACCTGGTCCCCCCCCACAGTCGGTCTGGCCCTGCACCTGCTTCAGCTGCTCCCGCCGCCCGGTCTGCTGCTCCTTCTTGGAGCTCAGCTGCTCAGGGGACACCAGGTACTGTTCCCAGGTGGCTCTGAGCCCCTGCAGCGTGGCTCTCTCTTTCCATTCCTCTCTCTTCTCCTCTGAGCCGTCCAGCTGCTCCCGCAGATGTGTCTTCACCTGCTGCTCTGAGTCCAGGATGCTGGCCAGCTCCTCCTCCTCACCGCTCAGCCTGTGGAGAGCGTCCCGCACAGGGCCAGCTGTTCCTTCGGCTCTTGGTCACGCACACGCGTGCATCGCGGGGTCTCGGGGATCTCCTGCTGATCCTCGGCCTTCTCCAGTCTCCACAGTCGCTCCTGCTGCTCTCTTTCTCCCATGGATCCTGCAGGTCTGTCTTCTCCTGCTTCAGTGGTTGGATCGTGGCACCGAGTTCCAGGTTTCTTCTTTGGCTGCGGTCCAGGGCGGGCACCACGTGTTGGTAGCAGCTCTGCAGATCCTTGGTAAAGGACTCTGCACACCTTCAAAAAGTCAGCATGTAGCACTATTTTTGAAGCATTCAGCACACATCACCCTTTGAAGGACTCAGCACATAGCACCCTTCGAAGGACTGAGTACATAGCACCTTGTGTAAAGGACTCAGCACACAGCACGCTTCAAAAAACTCAGCACATAGCACTCTTTCTGGATGACTCAGAACATAGCACCCAGTGGGAGGACTCAGCACACAGCACCCTTTGAAGGACTGAATACATAGGACCCTGTGTAAAGGACACACAGCACCCTTTGAAAAACAGCTTGTCCCATTCTTCTCAAGGACTCAGCACCTAGCACCCCATGGAAGGACTTAGCACACAGCACTGTTTAAGGTGCTGTCTTCAGTATCACTATTCTTTCAGAAGCACTTCACAAATCGCACAGGCTCACACTTTGCTCTCCTGTATTCTATGTGGGAGGGTCAGCTGGGGGGCTTGAACTCAGAGCTTGGGGGTGCAGTCCCTGGGCTCTTTGGCTTACCGCTAGAGCTCTACCACGTTGAGCCACAGCTCCGCTTTCGATTTTTGGTGTATTTATTTGAAAGGCCTATGGAGATGGGGAGGTCCAGGTCAGGGCGTCCCCGAAAGAAAGGCTCTGAGCTTGGCCTGGAACTGACCTCTGCCTTCCTTGTGCCCCTGGGAGCCGGGCCTCCTGGAGCTCTCTAGGCCTAGGCTGGAAAACACCTGTTCTGGCCTCAGCCATCAGCAGAGAAAAAATAGTCAGCTTGACTCTGGCCAATTCCCCAAGCCGAACACTAGAGGGCATGGGCACCGGGGCTGACAGTAAAAGGAACAAATAAAGTGTCAAAAAGAAAAATTCAGCACCATTTGAAGGATGGAGTACATAGCACCCAGTGTAAAGGACTCAGCCCATGGCACACTTTGAACAACTCAACATGTAACACTCTTTTCCAGGGACTCAGCACATAGCACCCCGTGGAAGGATTCGGCACACAGCACCCTTTGAAGGACAGTACATAGCACCCTGTATAAAGACTCAGCACACAACACACTTTGAAAATCTCAGCACGTAGCACCCTTTCAGAAGGACTTAGCACATAGATCCCTGTAGTAGGTCTCAGCACACAGCACCTTTTGAAGAGCTAAGTTCATACATAGCACCCTATATAAAGGACTCAGCATGCAGCACGTTTGAACAACTCAGCACAGAGCACTTTTGGAAGGACTCAGCACTAAACCTGTGGAAGGACTCAGCACCCAGCACCCTTTCAAGCTCTGAGTACATAGTGCCCTCTGTAAAGGACTCAGCACCCAGCATACTTTAAAAAAGTCAGCACATAGCACTCTTCTGGAAGGACTCAGCACACAGCACCATTTGAAGGACTCAGCACTCTTTGAAGGACTGAGGACCTAGAGCCTTGTATGAAAGACTCAGCTCACAGCCCGCTTTGAGAGACACAGCACAGAGCACACTTTTTGGAGGACTCAGAACATAACACCCCATGGAAGGACTCAGCACACGGCACCCTTTGAAAAACTCAGCACGTAGAACTCTTTTTGAGGACTCAGCACACAGCACCCCGTGGAAGGCTCAGCACACAGCACTGTTTGGCGTGCTTTCTTCAGTATCACCGTTCTTGCAGAAGGACTTCCCAAATCATAAGTTCACATTTTGTTCTCCTGGGTTCTCTGGCGAAGAGTCAGCCAGGGGCTGGAACTCAGAGCTTGGGGGTGCAGTCCCTGAGCTCAAAGGCCTTAACGCTGACCCGAAAGGCCGAGCTCGGCCTGGAGCGGTCCTTTCCCGGCCTTGTGCCCTTGGGAGTTGGGCCTCCTGAAGCTTAGTCACCCTAGGGAGGAAGACACCTGTTCAGGCCTCAGCCACCCATAGGAAAAGTCAGCATAGCCCTGGTCACTTCACCAAACTGAACGCTAGAGGGCGATAGAACCCCACAATGGGCACTGGGGCTGGCTATGAAATAATTTAATTATTTCATTAATAAATGAAAAGCTGTTCCAGACTGCGGTTTTACATTGTTTTTTTTCCTTGTTACAACATGAAAAAATATTTTTATAGAGTTCCAGAGATGTCTATACATGATTCAGTTATATACCAATTCCTGGATATTTATTATGCCTCCATGTAATTGATATTATTTTAATCCTTAATAAACTGTGAGTTAAATCAGTGTCCCAAAATCATTGCGTCCATGTAATTAATAGTATTCTTTTAATGCTTCATCAACTATTAATGAAAATCAATCAGCATCCTAGGATGATTGCATG